TGTTTGCAGAATCGTCGCCCGGCTGTCATCTTTGCCGCACGTTTTTTCGGCTTGAGCTGGAGTACTACTAGGACCCCAACCAGAAAGTGATCTGCCTCTTGATGGTTTGATTGGGTGTCCAGGTTTGCTAAACAACCACTTCCGCGCAGGCCTGGGAAAGTCATTTCTATGGCCACCTTTGATGATCTCAAGCAATTCTCCTCCACTCAGCTTCCGGCCTTTTTCCAGCCTCTCTCGCGCTTGAGATATCAGTCCTTGCCATTAGTTTTTCACGAAACGCCTTGCCGCCTTGCAAAGAAACTGAAGCCTATCTTGGCAGCTACAGGATCCAAGTCGTTCAAGGGACCATCACTCAAGAACCCAGCGGCGGTGGTGGTGTATCAAAGTTCTTGCCGCATTGGTGTTCTGCAAAGTGACGGTTTCCAGCTCCATCATCATGCTCTGTGTGACTGTGTGTATCCAGTAGCTTCCAGTGAGGAAATGACGACGACGGCATCCTGCAAATCCACATACAGTAAGAATGTCCTCCAATGGGCAGCTGACAAAACATCATAAAACATCAACATGGTTGCTCCTCAGCTTGCTCGTTGGGATTGCTCTTCTTCAGCCGCCACCTGGAACAATGGCCACACCCATCGGATTCAACAGCAAAACAGGCCATGAAAGTTGCAGCATATTATTGCAGCAATCGTCGTCACTCGTCTGACTCTCTGTCTCTCCCTCCCTCCTTCCTTCTCCATTGGCTACAAGCCCAGCATGCTTGGCAACACACTGCCCTTTCCCCTCGTCACATTCAACTGCGGTATATGGCTGTGGGTCCAAGAACGGGGAATGCACATGAACAGAATGGTCAACCTACCAAGGCTTAGGGTGTTCCTACCAAGCCTGTGGGCACCCAAACATGGTCAACCTACCAAGGCTTAGGGTTGTTTGGGTGCCATGACCCACAGCTTTATCTGCACGATCGGAGGGACGAGGCGGTCTGCACCTTCCAGCTGGTGGATGGTCTCTTGCAGGGCGCGGATCTCCGCACTCTCGGGATCCAAGGCCGCCGCCTGGGTCGTCAGTGGTTCTGGCCAAAGCTGATGGGTGGGGAAAAATGGGAAGAAGTGGACCAACCACAGGGATTTCTGTGGGCTTTTAAAGCCCTATGCCAAAGCAGGTCAGTGAGGATTTCATGGTACAGAGCACAAAAATGTACAAAATCGATATAAGAGCTGATATTCAACGGGCGCTGATAGAATAACAATGATGAATTTGGACTGCTTTTGATGGGCCATGCCTATGCTGTCACCCAAGTCAGTCGTCCCAATAAATCCCAAAGGTATTCTTGCTGTCCAAAAGGCCTTGGTGGCACTTTCCCAAGCACCGGCCAGGTCGGAGAGCTCCTAGGCAGCCAGGCGCCAGGCTCTCAGCCTCCCCCAGGTTTTTCTGTAGATCATGGACCCTATCACAAAGGAACCCCTCGTACCCCTAGCTGCAATAGCTCCTTTGGAAAAACACCAATCAGTCAAAATCAGTCACCAATCACATGGACAAGGTCAACGAAATGGCGGCCAACTGCACCTTTTAGTCCAGAATCGTCCCAAGTCCACTGCACCTTTTGTTGTGAGCCACTTCCAGGTCATGAGCCACCACCCACTTGCACCCTACCCACCTAGGCAGCCGTCCGAGGGGTCCTTTTGACACAACGCCAAGCGATAGAAGCCCTTGGTGTAGCTGGCATCCACACACGTCGCCTGCTTGGCATCCTCCAAGGCCTCCCCGTACCTCCGGGTCCAGCGGGTCCGGTCTGGAGAGTGGGGGACTGAAACATGGCTGAGAAAGGAATCATACTGTATATGGATCATTATGATGTCTTTATTTTTCCATCACACAAGCATAACTAACTAACATCTATATATGCAATCTGTTCCACAAATTAACATGCATCATTGGATGTTGGACAATTGTGTGATGACATTTCGGGTGGCCAACTTTGAAAACACACCCGCCATGACCAGGACCTTCACTTCATGGCCTCTTCGGAGTATCTCGTCGTGAGCTTTTTGTGAGGGACCGACTACGTCGTGACCATGGACGGTCACTGACTGAAGGTCCTGGCACATGAAACACATGTCCTTTGCCTTTGCCCCCAACATCCCCCAAGATACCAGTACCTGTGATGTTCGACTTGCAATCACTTGTGTGGCAAACATGATGTTCACCTTCCTTGGCTGGGCCTCTCCTGCAAACATGTCACATAATGTGTGTTTATTGTTCTTTTAAAGAATCTTTCCCGCACAGCGGTCAGCCTCTGAAGGTTGCACTGATGTGAACTTCCATCCAAGAAGTGTTAGAAGATCTTGGTTGGCCCTCCCCACCCTGGCAACCTTATTTGATCAACCAAGGCTGTTTCTGACTCCACTGTTTTGTGGGCCAGGTTGATCTACATATCAAGGATCTGCACCCTTGCAAACACAGCCACATCTCTCTCTGCCGCGCCTTCCCAGCAACATGAAGCACCGGCAGCGGTTCCCCAGCACTTCCGCCCGTAGCCGGTGTTGGGCACCGCGGTCGACCTCCCCGCCGGGCGACTCGAAGAGGGCGATGGCCTCGGAGTAGAGCTCCAAGGCGCGCCTTGAGGCAAGCTCGTGTGGGTGGGACCCAATGTCCCCCACAAACCAACATGGATCTTCAACATTGACCCATGGAAGACCATCCAATCCGCTATATCCGCTTTATCACTAATTAGTGACTAATTACAACCCAGTGGTTTTGGGGTTCCTTCTGCAGGGAGGAAATATGATGCCCCATCAAACGGCTGTTTGGCATGACTGCCCTCGAGCTATGGCTGGAAGAATCACAAGAAAACGGTCAGGCGGTGACGACGGATAGTATGCCACTACTTAGCTTAGCGCGGAACGTCTTCTTTGAGCTGCTATCCGAACATACCAATGTTTCTGATGAATGTAGGTCCATACTTTGAGCTTCAAAGGATAAAGACAAGGTGCCTAGGTGATGCACCCAAGCTCATCTGACAGAAATTGAAGATGCTCAAGGATTACAACAACAAACACAACACATGAGAACGAAACAAACAATTACTGTACATGATAAACAAAGAACCCCTAGAGTGGTCATGATGCCTTTGACTGGGGCCCACCTGGTATTCTTCGCTTTGAATTCTCCGTTGCCCTCTTCCTTCAGCTGTACGATTCGCTCAGCCATGTCGGCCCATGGCACAGCGCGCAGGATGTGCAAAGGATGTGTGCGCTTAGCAAGCCTCTACTGACCATGGCTGAGGCCAACATCACCAACATCCCACGATTCCTATCCCAAACACTCCATCTAGGGGCTGTTTCAGGGGTCCATGTAGGTATTTAAATATGCCATACATGGAGTGTTTGGGTATTGTGGGTGTACCCGGTGACTTGCAGGATCTGGTCCGGAGCGCAAGAACCCCCCGACAAACACATTCTGGTCACAAATGCCTCACCACAAGAATGGCTGGAATGGGGTATCCCATGGTATATATGAGGGGCATCATTCCAGTCGAGTATTCCCACAGAATTATCGGGTGCTTCTTGGGACCCTGCGAGCCTTGAGCCGGAAGTCAATGTGCAAAAGCCATATCCATGAATCAAATCATTAAACGGAATATCCATCTAAATACATTATACACATACATGTCGCGATGTCAATGACAAGAAGACTCAGTGACCACATATTTTAGATAGCACTTACTATATAGTACTAATTAGTTATTAGACTTTTCCTTGCAAAAATGGCTTTGGATGGTACCTCATCTTTGGGCCCTACGGATTCACTGGGCTGTTTTGTATGTAAATGTGCGGCGTTTAAAAGTGCCCAGCATCGGCGTTTCCAGCAACATTTGAAAGGGCAGTGTCCAGCACAGCTCAAACACCCGCAAATCCGGTCGTGGCGAGCCATGGCTGACATACTCTTTGAGCAACGCAATCCAAGAGATTGGAACAGATTGTCGTGTGATCCCTACCTATCAAGGGGGGAACCTTAAAAACCGATATCTGGAGGATTCTGGATCCATGGAACATGAACCTAACCAGTTCGTTCACCCCAGCGCGCCCACGCAAAGTTGCACCTGGCCCACAACTCGTCAGCGCAACGTCGGCAAAGGCAGCGGAAGCCATAGCGCCTTGGCTGCAAAAAACACAGGAGGCCCATCAGCCGAGCTGCGACGAGCCTGGTCCATCAAGCAATTGATGTATTTCTAAATTTTTGCCATGCTTGCAAATGCCAAAAATGATCAACCTAAGCTAGCATAGCGGGCTGCCGGATAGAAAAACCTCCATTTGCCAAGTGCAGGTTCTTACCTCGAACAAGGCGTGAAATCGACTGGACACCTATACATCTTATGTCCGCCCATGCAGCCATCACAACATGTATTGAAATAGGGAGTCTTCCCAGTTCGACCCCTTGGAAGAAGGAATGTAGATGTAGACCAGTCTATACCATTGGTTGGGAGACATCCTTTTTTGAAATGCATACTCATACTGAGTGATACTCCTTGCGGCGGCCTTGCACCAACCTTGCCATACCAACCGCCGCCTTGAGCGCTCCACTTTGGCGACCCGGCTACCACACCTCCGCGGCCACGACACGCTGAGCGCCCCGACCGCCACAAGCTGCGCCGCCGCGAACGCAACGGCTTGGATTCATCGATGTAGCTAATGGTCAGCTCCTTCTTTTGGCAAAGCATGCAAAGGCTATGGCCCTAGAGTGGGGAGAACCTCAATTATGAGAAGAGAAGCATGGCAAAACACAAAAGAAACACCTCTGACGGACCACAGCCATCAATTCCCACCCCTTTGTGCTATGGACTTTTCAAGAACAGCCCAGTTGAGGGGCCTGTTGAGCTATGCTGGTCTAACATTTAAAGCGTGTGACCAATAGTTGATGTAGCCACTGAGTGCAGCTGCAAATCCACAGTCGTTGGAAGTGACAGTTTGTTGTGACAGTTGAGATGTGGACCGTGGTGTGTGCAAATATTTGATGTGTTTCCCTTGTAACTGTAAGTTTGATGTCACATTTCAGTACATGTAAACAACCAAGCTTTGCAGTTATGGAATCCTAGAAGTAGCCACGGTTTTTTTGCATGGAATTAGTTTACCAATACAAAAAATTGCTAATGTACTGTATGAGCTTTGTTGGGGGGGGCGCATGCCTTTAATGTACTCAATGCTGCATCTTTGACATGGGTGAATCCTGGAACCCAAGATTTTTGCATATGTTTGTTCATATGAACCTAAATTGTAAGAGGTTCCTTAGAGAGAGCAAAGTATTTTTCCATTGTCCTGGCACTCCCCATGTATCCTGGCTACCTCACAAAACATGCAAAGCCAACAGCGCATTCTAATTATGAAGACAAGAACTTCCTATCATTTCATATAGAGGGAAATAGCCTGGACCTCAAATATAAGTGCCGTGTAAACAAACGACAAGCCTCAAAGTGTGTGTTATCATGTTTCCTTCAATTGCAACAGAAATCATTTACATGCACTTGATTTTTAGAGAGTAGATCCTGTGCAGTGTTGTGTCCTTTCACTTCGCCAACCCAGGATGTGAGGACGCTGAAAGGTCGTTTTGTTGGAACAACCCTTGATGACCGATGCAGTTCTTAGGACCCCGCCACGGTGCATGGGAAGGTCCCCGACGACTTCGGGTAGTCCGTCGCGCATCAGTCGAGAGAATTATATGAAACAATTGCAGGAAAGAATTACAAACATGCAAGTCGCACATCAGTCGACAGCGAGGGAGCACGCGCAACATTCCAGCAAGTCGCACATCAGTCGACAGCGAGGGAGCACGCTCAACATTCCAGCTGCCAAACCTGGCGCAGGGCATTACTCAATCTTGCTCTCCAAATGGAACTGCAAGTAATTAGCCAGGATGGCTCCTCCTTTGACCCGGCAACTTTAATTGTCTGGCGACAGCCTCTTGGCTTCAGTGGGTGGTGGCTGTGGGCATCACCTCACTACCTACCTATCTACCTGTATAGACCAAGTCATAAACCCCACCATATACATCTTTGCTTACCTTGTTTCTTGTGTGCTACCCAGACTTTTTCTACTGCAATTTTATGTGAAAGCTACATTTCCAGTTATGATGGATTTGGTTGTCAAAACAAATCTCTTGTGTTCATAATTTTGACATTTTGCTCCATCAATCTCACAGGAGTCTGGAACTATAATTTGGAAAGAAATTATTCGTTCAATTATGCTCTAGGCCTTGCGCACTCACTTGCATTAAGTTCTCGAGCCCAGGAATGCAGAATCGGTTTGAATAACCTGGCTACTAATTTCAAGTTCCTTCTGTAATATTTTTTGAGGGGAGGGGTGGTCATCAGAGTCATGGCTTGAGCACAGAAACCTGGTCCTCAGCTTTGTATTGTTCAGTTTCGAGTGTCCAATCTACATGTAGTTTACCAAGAGTGCATTTGCATGAGCTCACTATGAAGCTGTCAAGTGGTAGAACCAAGATTTTTTACGAAAAGCATTATGTGATCTATCAGGTTGCAAGACGGTTTGAGGTGGGGGTCAGAAAATCACCGTTACTTGCACACAGGCGTCTGGACTGCAGCTTCCAGTGTCTAAAGGCATTCCTTTCGCTATTTCCTTGAAGTGGGTGAGTCCTGGGATCTAGGACTGTCTTTGTATGAAAGTGGTGTATGAAGAGAAGAATTTCGTATCGTTTCATACGAAGGGAAAGCCTTGACCTCCAAAAAAAGTGCAGTATAAACAATTGACGAACCTGTGGAAAAACACAGTCTTAAAGTCGTGTGCTTTCTTGATGAACATGTGCTGCAACAGAAATCATTTAGTTGTACTTCTTTTTTAGGGAGTAGATCCTACGCAGTTTTGTTGAGAGCTTGTGGTTTCAATTTGTTGAGTCACTGCTTCTTGGACCTGTTGTTCAGGTGCCCAAGCCTCAGTTTCAAGACACACGCACATTTTCCACAACTGAACACTGATTGCACTGTTAAAAGATCTTTTTATAGAAAAGGCAAAGTTGTATGGATCTCATACTTCTTTAATTGTTCCTGGAAGCTAGGATCACAGGATCTTCGTTCATTCAAGCAGTGAACCCATGAATCTTAGTTCTTTGCTTCAGGTTGATCTGAGTTACCTCTGGGGTTCTCCAAGGCTCAAAGCTCCTGTGACAATGAGGCGCTTGATCAGACATTGCATTGTCAGTACTACTGCGTGCATTCCCTTCAGCTTGAGCTTGTCCCCTCACACTCCGTTTTTCTCTCTTCTTGGCAAGTGTAGCACAAGTGAAACATGGCCTCATCCTTCCAAAGGCTTACCGGCAAGGCTTGGAGAAACTTAAGCAAATGAACTGACTGATGAAATTGAGAAGAACCAAGGCAGACAAGAGCACACTTTGATGAGGATGCTGATGATGAAGCTGCTGACTCACTTAGATTGCTAAGCAACATATACTTCTTGATGAACAAACAGTAGCATGCACCCAGTGTACTTCAAGACTTCTGGTGTAGGAAGTGATGTTGTTTACCCTCTCCGAACTGCCATAGATGTCAGGGCTGAAACCTCATGTGGTTTGATATCTCAGATCCCAAATAAATATATAGTGTGGAACCTCCAGCTCAGGCAGTCTGAAGTGCCTTGTCAGGTTCGTCAGCTCACTTTTCAGGCCATTGCACACTGACTGGCGGTATGTCAGCTTGTCCACAGGTGTCCTTTTGGTGTTGGACTTGTGGAAATAGACCGGCCGTGTGGGTTGACTCAAATTGACATCAAACACTCTATGCTTGAGACGCAAAGAATTCTTTTTTCAACTGGCAGGCGGCAGGAGTACATCCTTGGTCGGCTGGAGGCCGCACGCGAGAGAGCCCTTAGATTTCATGCCTTAAGGAAGTCTCAAGCCAGAATGGGCGTGGAGTTTTCTCTTGTGAAGGTGTTCTCTCGCCACACGCCAAAAAAGACTTTGGTAGAAAGAGCGAGGGCGACTCCCCACACAAATATGTGCATACAATGGCCCGTATGTATAAACAAATCTAAATTTGTATGTAATATATATACATATATAATCCCCATGTCAATTTAGGGTAGGGGGTCTGGACACCCATTTTATAGGTATAAAATTGTGGGACCCACCCCCTATACAATGCAGGTACCCAACCCAAACTGTAAAACTTTAAAACCATAAAATCACAACCCCCCAAGCGCCATCAAACACCATAATCTCATTTTACACCTATGCATGGCAGCCCAAACAAAAACATGTGTGTGTATGCGGCTGGTTTCATGAGCCATCACAGAATCAAGCAGGATTTATACGAGCATCTCCAGCACACCGTTAATCTCTATAAGATCCCACGCCCCCATTCAGGGGGGCCATGAAACGTTTTATAGTACGGGTGGTCCCCTGTGATTTCATAGAGGATATTGACATGGAGATTACATATATATATATATATGTATCGTGCACATGTGTCTGCAAAAGCACATGCATCATATACAGTTATAATTACGCACACACAAGACACGCATAATACATAAAATATACATATGATACACTTCGAGTTAATGACAAACACATGCACTCACTCACACAACATGTCTATCCAACAAGATCCGAAAGACGTCTGGAGGCATACATCATGTTTCCAGACCCCGTACTTATCAGGGGCACCTGCTGAACCACAAACATCTGCAAGTGGTTCTGGTGTCTGACGGTAGTTGCAGTGTGATGCGGTGTAGCCACCATGTTTCTTCCATCGGGCCGTTGAGGAACCGTAAGCCACAGCCAAGAGCCAGCGCCCAAAATTTTCCTGTTGAAACACCGTCTAGCCATACCGCTGTAGCTTCTTAGAAGCTGCTCGCTCCCAAGCCCTCACGCACCTTCCTTTTTTGAAGCGCTTCACTGAACGCCTCCGAAGACAGGATGGAACCGCAGGCATGGAAAACGAAAAAAGCGTCCCTGGTGCCAGGGCAAAAGAAATCTTCATCAATATGTGCCAGTCGCCACGGCTCTTGCCATTGAATTTTCATTTGTTCTCTTTGCACAGCTTGTCTGCGTGCTTTCGGGAAGCGGAGAAGAAGCACGCCATGAAATTTGCATATTGTCGTCGGAGGCGTGTCGGGTGCCTCACGGAAATTGTCCAAGGCCAGCGACGCTGGCAATAAGTCGCCACAGTCAAGAAAGCCTCCTCCCGTGCAACCCCCACGACACCTTCTTTACCGGCAAGGAGACTGGGAAGTCAAAGCAGCAGTCGCCAAGATTCTCAACTGCTTTGCCTGTCTGCCAAGAGCTTCTGATTCCTTAGGGTCAGTTTTCTGCATGCTATCAAGTGTCAATGTATGCCATACGTTTCTCCTGCCTTAGTTTTCGGTGCTGCGCTCTCAACTTGCAAGCTTCAAGCAATGCAGTGCAAGATTGTGTCCACCAGAGGTTGCTTTATTCTAGAAATCAACAAACTTGAAAAACAGCAAACCCAGTGGGTCAACGCACCAGTTTAACCAGTTCTTTAGTAACGCACCAGTTTAACCGGTGCTTTAGCAAAACTGGGGCTGGAAGCTTAAAAAGGCCGTGAAAAACCCGTGAAAAGGACGTGAAAAACCCGTGAAAAGCCCGTGAAAACAGGACAGGGTGAAAGGCCGTGAAAAACCTGTGAAAATTAGGTCTTGGAAGTTGGGAGGTGAAATGCGTCCTTTATGCTAACGCACCAGTTTAACCCGTCCTTTGGACTTGCTGGGAAAACAAATGCAACAAAATGAAAACCAAAAAAGCACAAGCACAACAAAGAGCAACCAAGAAAGCAAAAAAGAACACAAACAAGTGCAACCAAAAAAGCACAAGCAAAACAAAGAGCAACCAAGACACGAAAAAATGCAAACCAAACAAGCACAAGCAAAACAAAAAGCAACCCAGAAAGCAAAAAAAACAAAGCAAACAAATGCAACCAAAAAAGCACAAGCAAAACACAGAGCGTAGTTTGGGGGGGCCGGGTGGGGTTAGTACTGGACAAGAATCTTTTCCTGGTGCCAGGTCAAGTGTCGCACTTTTGGTCGCTCCTTTTTCTGGTGCCGGGTCAAATGTGGCACTTTTGGTCGCTTCTTTTCCGGCGCCAGGTCAGAAGTCGCACTTTTGGTCGCTTTTTTTTCAGGCGCCGGGTAAAAAGTCGCACCGAAAAAAAGGAAAACAAAAGCGACCAAAAGTGCACCAGAAAGTGGACCCTCCCCGAAAAGTGCGCAAGAAAGTGGACCCACCCAAAACTGCGCCAGAAAGTGGGCCCTCCCCCAAAAGCGGCCAGAAAGTGCGCCAGAACGTGGACCCTTCCAAAAAGTGTGCCAGAAAGCCCGGCTGAGTTGTTCCATGTTTGCTTGCAATTTTGTTTGCTTTTTTTGCTTTTATGACTGCTCTTTCTGGCTGCACTTTGCGATTGCTTCTTTGTTGGTCTTTTTTGGGCTTTGTGATTGCTTTTGTTTTTCTGGTTGCACTTTGTGATTGCTTGTTTTTTGCTTTTTTCTTTTTTTTCAAGATGACAAACTTCTAGAATAAAGGGGTCTGGCAAACACAAGTGCAAGACATTCAAGTGTGCAGCTCCATCATAAGCCTTGCCAAGCATCAGGTGCTGTGAATGGGCAAGTCCACGCTACATCGCACTGATCCTGGGGACATACACACAAAAACCCAGCGTCAGTGTGAGCAGCATCAACAAGGATCCTCGAACCAAAAACATTAGTCACAGTACACAAAAATATTGCTGCTGGAACTGGAGCTGTATTGTGTGAACTTCATATGTTATTGTTTTTGTATGCCAAGCACACTCCGTTTGTCCTTGCGCCTTGGAGCACACAAAAGCTAATGCCAGTGCCTGTAACATCAACAAGGGTCACTAAAGGTCCAGCTTGCACATGCTAGAAAAGGACATGCAACAAATACTGTTACTGGAGCCGGAGCTGCGCTGTGAGAGCATCACAATGCATCACATGTGTTTGTTCTCCTTGCTCAAAGGAGCAATGTGCTGGACTAAGAGTGGTGAGCCAAAAAATCTGCCAAGTATCCATTGTTGTAAATCGTCAAGTTCTTGCTGCTTGCAACCCAGGAGCAAACTGTCACTTTCTCATGAACAAACTGTCACTTCCAATGACTGTGGATTTGCAGCCTTTCCAACATTCCTACGTCAGCAGTCAGCAGTTGCTTCTGCAGGGATATCGGATGATACAAGCTGATAATTACAGCAATGTATATAGACTCTTGATTAGTAAAACTCAGCCCGTATGAAAAGATTTGACAATCCAAATGGCGGGGGATTTAACTATACCCAGCGTTTTGATTAGTCAAGAAACGGGACCCCTCCCGTTCTTTCCCACGGCACCCGTTCTTTCGTCGTCTCCATCCCCCTCCTCGCCCGAGCGCACGCGGCGCAGGGTCTTGACCACCGCCGTGGAGCTACCGTCGCCTGGGATCCCGGTGGGGTCTAAGTCTACCAGGAAGAGCTAACAACTGTGTTATAGCGTTTCCTATGAAGCTAAGAGCTAACAACCGTGTTACTGTGTTATAGCTCTTAGCTGTTATATGAATCATAGCTGAACAACTGTGTTCTTGCCATTCCTTCATCTTTGCGACAAATACGATATGCAAACCCCGAGCTTTTCCCAGCGCGGAAAACACAATTTCACCAATTGCAGTGTCCATTTTTCTCAGGTCATACCCAACGGTCACTCCTGTCCCCTCCTAACAGTCTGCTTCCCCGGCCATCACTCCGGTCGTCACGTCAAGGGGCGATAGTCCACTTCGCAGTTGGGCCTTCGCATGCGAAATGGGGCTGTTCTGGATTCCTGTGGTTGGTCCGATTGAATTGGAACAATCAAAGTCTTTTCAGTGAGTGCGTTGGGGCTGGGCCCATGAAGCGCCTCTGCCCTAGTAGCGCATATCATAGAACCCCGAACTTGTCATCTTTTCTGACCAAAGTAGTGCACACGGACCACACCAAGCACCACCAAACATTGGCAGCTCTCCACCGGCTCCCCACCGAGCCGCCCGCCCCACGGCCTGCAGGAATGGTTCATCAAAGCCACCCTCCGTGCCAGGCCGAAGCCCAGAATCGTCGGCAGCTCCTGGCCATCTCCCTGCTGCCCCCCCGTTGGGATGTTCCGAAGCTCCGAAGGGATCCTGAAAAAGTGATCCGGATAACCCCGCTCTTGGGTGTTGATCTTCTTGGTGTGAGAGGCATACCAGGACTGACCTGTCCAAAGCAAAGGCTAACGACCCCTTTTCACCCACACAGGACCGGTGGTGGATCAGTGCACGGGATGTCGTAGGTCTTGGGCTTTGATGGCCTGGCGCCTCAGAGCGGTCTAGCTTGAGGATGCTTGATTGCTTGAGCTTATCAGCTTATCCATGTTGATGTCTTGAACTCTAGTCTGCGACTTGGTTGAGCTTTGAGACTGAAAGGTCTACGACTCCCCAAACTTGCCCCATCAGGCTGCCACAAGCTTGCAAACCAATCAAAGCTGCCAAGCACTCAATGCGGGGCGGGTCTTTTGTTAGTAACAAAAACGGGGCACCTTGTCTTTTCAAAGGCATATCATGTGCTCGGCGCCCAACGGTACTGGACCTCCATCATTCTTCCCGCCTCTTCCAACTCCTCCTCTCCACTCAGACTGCCCGGGACCTGCGCAGTTGAAGAACATCCTGGATCACCCAGGAGGTCGAGCGTTCCGGCATTCAAAAGATGGTCGGTCACCATGTGGGGATGGGTCAAAACCTGTAGCTTGACAAACCAGGTAGGTCCAAGACTAGGTCCAAGATATCCTGGTGCCATGAGCAACAGCCATGTCATGTGATTCATGTCTAACTTGAAAGTTTCAAGCGTTATATACATCGCCCGAAAGGTGAACGTGTAAGACTTCAGGGGCTGGAGGTGGTGGAAGCACTGGAAGCAGCGAGGAGGATCAGGGAATGTCACTTCCTGGCCCCATTGGTTTTCCTCAAGCATAGAACTAACCTCTTGGAACTGACCCACCCTGGCACGATCCTCTCACCAAGGAAGTTCACTCTTACATCGGCTGAGGCCCTCCTGCTTGCATTTTGTGAAGTTCGCCGACCACACAGAATAGCGTAGCTACCGTAGGTGCGGTTGTTCTGCCATTGCTTTCATGGAGAGGGTACGTGTGATAGGGCATCCTGACTGCATCTTTGAAGGAGTTGGATAAGTTCCGCTCGACAAACCGCGTGTACTATCCTTTTCCAGGCTCAAGCCTTGCATGTCACGGCGTCTTCCCTCCGAATTTCTTCGCCGCGATTGCGGGGCGACTTCGTCCCCCACGGCATGTGTCGCAGGGCGCAGGAGGCCCCGCGGCCACACCTTAATTGCTTTCATATGGCTGAGAGTTGATCTGAATAATTATCCCTCTCTTGGCATGATGATGCATTCCTGCATTCGGCTGGTGGTCTCTTTACAGTACCAAGTGAGATTTTGGCTCTCTTGGAATGAGCAAAGTCAAGGACATTGTTTGATCCACCCTCATCTGTGGGTTCTCCAATGCTCCTCCTTTTGTGATCCATTTTCAAGCTCTCACCAGCTGGCACAAAATCAGCTTCCCCGTTGGTGAACACATCGCCCTGATTGGCTTATGGGTCCAAGCCTAGGAAAAAGGTGAAGAACATCATGATCTCTAGGGTTCCTACGACTTCCTCAGAAGCTAGGGACATGCAGGGCCTGAGCCCCAACACCACCCGAAACACCTAACCATGGAGGCACTTGTCGCGACACGTGTGGAATTTGTGCGAGACCTCTGAAAGGCCATGAGCATCGGAGAACCTCTTCAAGCGATCTCCAGCTTGCGCCCGTCGCCCGCGCGGAGCTGCGGACCAGAACCGCGGTCAAATGCGAGCAAGCGCGAGCGCACACGTGTCCCACTTGAGGCTTGTAAACAGCCAACTGATGGAATCCAACACAGAAAGCAAACTCCGTTAAGTGCACGGATACTCTCGGAAGCTTTCATGTGGTTAGCTATCGCATCGGGATCTCTGGCACCATGCCAAACCAAGTTCATGATAGTTCCATGTATATAACATTATAATATAACTTAACTATAGTAGTAAGTCATAGTCTGCTCACTCCAACTGCTGCCATGTAGCTCATTGTAAGTCATGGTCTTCTCACCCTGAAAATGAAGCGCTTAAGCTCAACAGGCCCTATACCCTGTACCTTGTACTAGCCAGGGTCTGTCCACGTCTGTCCTGCCTATCGTCGCTCATGCTGGGCAGTGTGGGCCCGTGCGTCACGTTCTTCGCTTCACTCGAGTCTTCACTCACTCTCAGACCTGGGTGCAGCTGACGACCCCAACCAATGAAACAGCCGCTCATTTCTCGATGAGTGCCCAACATGAGTTTGTTTTACGGCGATGTCATGAGTCATGTGAAGTCCTTAGACTAACTTGGACTTATATATAGACATTACTGTATAGACGGCCTCATGCTTCCGTAAAGCTCCACCACGCCAAAAGCAAGTTTGGTGAATCAAATCTCTTCCGCTAGCCACGCAGGCTTGCCAAGTGATCCCATTGCACGCCCCCAGAACTTTGACGGAGGGTCTGTCGATGAATGTCCCCTTCCAGGTGGTTGCGATGCTAGTTCACACATGGTCATCGGTAGAAGCCTGCAAGTGACAAGAAATATTGCCACCTGTCACATCTTAACCTGGGGGCTGTTTGTAAAGACCTCACAGTTGGGCCACAAGGTCTAGAGTCTAGCCTAGCCCTTTGCGAATGGAAAGGGGTCATGTTAAGTTTTGATTGATACACCTTGCCTGGGCTCTAGAGAGATGTGCCAAACATGTCTCATACGGGTGGTGAGTGGGTGGTCGAGCTGAATCAACCATCAAACATGGTCCATCGTGGTGCATATGCTCCAACTGATACACAAAACACACACACACCCAGCATGCCCGAGCGACTCATAGAAGGCCTCCTCTAACTCGCTGTCCTGCCCAAGCGAGTTGATGGCCAACCCCGATGTCAGAAACTAGGGGTGGAGTAGATGATGAGCTTTCAAGATGGACGGATTTCCCTCTGATAACCTCTATCACTACCTCTATCCATTTCGGGAAGGATTGTCTTCCAATTCGATGCCCCAAACTTGCAAGACAATTCTCTTTGGGCCAGCTCTCCGGTCTGAACATGTCCATGCGCAACCATCTATCCGAGCTGCCGTTCTATCCAAGCTTTGCGACCCCCATGGTGTCCCCCCTGGGTCTGAAGTCTCAACACGGACGGTCCCCCACGTCGTCGTGGATGCCGAAGAGAGCTCCACAAATGCAGGGCAGCAAGCTCACCTCAAACCAACAGCGACTCACATGGGCCACAGCGACGACTCGCGAGTCATGACGGTCCAAGTGGCCCAGTAGTCAGGTGCACAGGAGCCGAATATAGGGAAGGCCGAGAGGGCCTAGTAGTGGGGGTGTAGTGTGTGGGCAATGGTTGGATCATCATATGAACACACCCACTGACCTTAGCGGCTGAATCATTGAGAGAAAACAAAGAGAAGTGGTTGCTGGGCAATTATCCCAGGGTATTTGCTGGTTGAGAGAAAAAAAACTAAGTGGATGAATTCACCAGGTTGCTGGGCACCCCAACATCCCATCAAAACCCCATCTCCGACCCTGTCACCCCCATCCACGGTGTCATCGGTCGTCACCGGTCGTGTCATCGCCGTGTCACCACCAGTGCCACCAGCGCGGTGGATCCGCTCACCCAGGCTGGCCAAAGGTATTCGCCTCAGGGAGCACCGGTGGAACGAAGCGGTCCGTCCCAAGGGGGGTGGACACGTTGAAGTGTAGTGACTCTAGTGACCTGTTGTGTGGGATCCTCCAAGGCTCAACATCATGTGGTACCCTCGCATGAAGTATGGAGAAGTGAAATGGTACCTGGCAAAAATGCACTTCCCTTCCGGAAAATATATAGGTTGTTGATCCCTGGTGATTGTTGGGTACGGTGTCTATCCAGGTATTTCATAGAGCATCAAACACCTGGGATGGTTGCTGATGATTGTTGGTGCTAGCTGCTAACTAGTCTTCCAAGATCTTCAGCTCAGCGGCAATTGACCCCCACAGGGCACGCTTGCGACTCCGTCGTGGCATACACGGCCCAGGCAACCACGTTCACCAAAGCCAAGTTCCTGGGAGGGTGCCAATGAGCTTGGCGAGAAAAACAGGTCACTCACTCCCTCGGCTTCCTTGCAAAACAGAGGTTAAGCGGGTAACCTTTTAAATTACCATCTGTTCATATCATCTAATTCGTGGGGAAACCAACCCCCAACAAAGCCTATAAGGGCATTGTCCACTTTTCCTGGGTAGAGGTCATTGGTGAGTCGTCTGAGGTCAACTCACCTGGAATCGGAACGTTTCGACATGCGAAAACCGAGCGCTGCAGGTCACCGGACCCGACCCGTCTTGGCGGTTCGTCCGCCGCGACCGCGTGAGCGGCTCGGGTGACTGAATGGTGGCTCGGTCACGGGTGCCATGCTAAGCACCATGCACTGTAGATTCTACACAGTCTTCAACAAGGCCCCAAGGCCTCGCTTGACACTGGACATGTATATACTAGTATACAAATGTATACAGAATACAGTATACAAAGATATACAATGTATGCAGTAGGGGCATGGTTTGTAAGTCCATAAGTTCCCAGACGGCTTCACCAATTTGCAGCTCAGCATCAAAAGAACCACCCACACCCAGCGTGGGCCTGAGCTGTGTTCCAGCTGGGGCAGCAGTCCAGTCCCCCATCCATCACACGCGTTCCATGTCTGAGGCGAAAAGAAATGAAGCTGGTACCACTGACACTGACACTCAAAATGCTGCAGTAGATCTGTTATTTGATAGTTGCATCATGTTTGAAGGGACCTTCATCAAACATACAACACCTTGATGAATACCTCTTTTGCCTTGACGGTCCTTGACTGGTCTATTGGGTTGACCATGGTTCTTCGTCAAGAGCACGAAGCAAATGGATGGGAAATGCATCCGGGAGGTCGAGGACGTCATCAAAGAACCTACTGTTCTGGCCTGTGCTGCTCAAGACAGTGGATCTATCCTGTAGATGGCGCCAGGTTGCGTGATCCCCATTCTCCATCAAACATGTCTTTCGAGGAGTTGGTCGTTGGTGTCACCTACCCCAAAATCAACTGTAGCAGTTCTGACACTTCCAAGTGACAGTTGCTGTTGGCTCTGCACACAGCGTAAGGCAGCATGCTCAGCAAATGCCTTGGCTTAGATCCATCCTTCTGAAACACATGATGTAAGGGACCACCGTTCTTTAACATGGCAATCTGTTTGGTTTGGTATGGTTTCGGTCACCCAATGTTCTTCAGGATAAAACACCCGTCAATATCTACCTAGAACCCCTAACAAGGCAAAAGGATCAGCTCCAAACACTTGTTCACAAACCAGTTTGCTCTCTAAATCCAATACATCCCACCCTTATCCAAAGCTGACAAGTGGCCCAATGAATAAAACCAACGTGACCCAATGAAACCAAAGGCAAAACCAAAAACCATAGAGCCACATTATAGAGCCAAAAGCCACAAAACATCACTTCACCATAGAGCCGCATAGAGCCTCGTCTCATCCCAAAAGCTCCCTTTGACTCCTCCGACCCCATCTAACTCGAC